ATTTACTTCAGACTATTCCTCCAGTTTGTCCAGATCATTTTGAATTCTAATCTGGTCATCCAAGGTGCTTGCAACCCCTCTCTGCTTCAAATTTATAAGTGTACGCTCTCTGTCATTATCCAAATAATTTATGAAGATATTCAACAGAACTGGACCCAAAACAGATCCCTGAGGGACCCCTCTAGATATGCCCTTCCAGCTCGACTGTGAGCCATTGATAACTACTCTGAGTATGGTTTTCCAGCCAGTTGTGCACCTACTTATAACACAGAGGAGGGCAAACTACGGCCTGCAGGCTGGATCTCGCCCATCAGGGCTTTCAATCTGTCCCGTGGGATTGCCAGCCCCGTGGCACAGTAGGGATAAGGCAGGCCCCCTGCCTGCCCTGGCCCCGTGCCACTCCCAGAAGCGGCCGGCACCATGTCCCTGTGGCCCCGGGAGGGGAGGGGGGGGGAAAGAGGGAAAGGCGGGCAGAGGGCTTTGTGCTGGGAAACTGCGTCCAATGGGAGCTTCGGGGGTCATGCCCACAGGCGAGGGCAGCGCACAGCAGAGCCGCCTGCTCCACCCCACCCCCAGGAGCCACTGCCAAATATGCTGGCCACTTCTGGGAGCGGCGCGGGGCCAGGGCAGGCAGGGAGCCTGCCTTAGCACTGCTGCCACCCGGGAGCCGCTCGAGGTAAGCGGTGCCGGGCTGGAGTCCACACCCTGCATCCCTCCTGCACCCTGCACCCCAAGCCCCTGCCCTGAGCCCCTTCCTGCACCCCAACCCCTTGCCCTGAGCCCCTTCCTGCACACCGCATCCCCTCCGACACCCCAACCTCCTGCCCCAGCCCTATATTCATGGCCCTGCATACAATTTCCCCACCCAGCTGTGACCCTCAGGCCAAAAAGTTTGCCCACCCCTGTTATAGCAGTTTCATGTAGGTTATATTTCTCTAGCTTAGGAGATGATTATGTGAGACAGTATCAAAAGCTTTACTAAAGTAGATATGACATCTACCATCTCCCCCTATTCACAAGGTTTATTACCCTGTCAAAGGAAGATATTAGATTGATTTGACATGATTTGTTCTTGACAAATCCATGTTGACTGTTACTTACCTTATTTTATTATAGGTGCTTGCAAATTGTTTGATTATTTGCTCCATTATCTTTCTGTGTACTGAAGTTAAACTAACAGGTCTGCAATTCCCTGGGTTGTCCTTATTCCCCTTTTAATACATAGGTACTATATTTGCCCTTATCCAGTCCTCTGGATCTCTCCCATCCTTCACAAGTTCTCAAAGATAATAGCTAATGGCTCAGAGATCTCTTCAGCTAGTTCCTTAAGTATTCTAGGTTGTATTTCATCAGGCCCTGCTGACTTGAAGACTTTTAACTTGTCTAATGGCACGTCTACACTTAAAATGCTGCATCGGCGCAGCTACAGCAACCCTACTACACTGCTCTAGCACTTTAATGAAGTCACTAAGCCAATGGGAGAGAGCTCTCCCATCAGCATAGTTAGTCCACTTCCCCGAGAGCAGCTCTCCTGCCGACATAGTGCTGTCTACACGGGAGGTTACATCAGTATAACTACATTGCTCGGGGGGGTGGATTTTTCATACCTGAGTGATGTAGTTATACTGATATAGGTCCATACTGTAGACCAGACCAAAGTAATTCTTAACTTGTTCATTTCCTATTTAACCTGAGATCCTATCCCATTTACATTGATGCTCTTTATGTTTGTCTGATGAGTGTTAACTTTTTTGGTGAAAAAAATAAATAAAAAAGCATTTAGTACTTCAGACATTGCTGCGTTTTCTGTTATTGTCTTTCCCTCCTCACTGAATAATGGGCCTACCTTGTCCCTGATCTTCCTCTTGATTCATATGTATTTGTAAAATGCTTTCTTGTTACCCTTTATATCCCTAATTAGTTTAATCTCATTTTGTGCCTTGGCCTAACTTTGTCCCTACATGCTTGTGGTTTTTTTGTATTCATCCTTTGTAATTTGACCTAGTTTCCACTATTTATATGACTCTTTTTTTGAGTTCCAGGTCATTGAAGATTAATTGGTTAAGCCAGGATGGCCTATTACCATATTTCCTATCTTTCCTACGCATTGATATCGTTTGCGCTCATGCCGTTAATATATTTTTAAAAAACTGCCAACTCTCTTAAACTGTGCCTCCCCGCAGACTTGTTTCCCTTTGAATTTTACCTACCAATTCTCTGAGTTTGATAAAGTCCATTGTCTTTATTCTGCTGTTCCCCCCCCCCTTACCCCCCCCCCTCTTCCTGTTCCCTAGTATCATGATCACTTTCACCCAAGTGGTCTTCCACCTTCAGATTCTCAATTAATTACTCCGTTTGTCAGAATCGAATCCATAATAGCCTCTCCCCTAGTTCCATTCTCCACTTTCTGTAATAAAAAGTGGTCTCCAATGCCTTCCAAGAAGTTGTTGGATAATCTGTGCCCTGCTGTATTATTTTCCCAGTCTATAATGCTAATTAGCACTTTCAGCACTTTCTAATAGATTTTAGTGTCAAATAAAACCCCAATTGTGCCACTTCCTTTCAAGTTCTCTGTTGAAATCAAGTTTCTGTGCACTCATCCCCGAGTGTAACCTAAGCAGAATTTAACGATTCAGTCATTACAATGGTAACATCAATGGGTTCTAATGGAGGGAGGTACTATATAACATGAAAAGGGGTGGCAGAATTGAACCCCAACAGCTTAACTCATAAGATAACACTTACTGTGCCTGCCTCACAGAAGTTATCCCCATTTTATGACATTAGGATAAGCAAGTACTGGGCACGTCAGTGACTCGCAAACGGTGGCAGTGAAATTCTGATACATTAGGTCAGTGGTTCTCAACCAGGGGTACATATGTACATCTAGATATTTGCCTAGTTTTACAACAGGCTACAGAAAAAGCACTAGTGAAGTCAGTACAAACTAAAATTTCATACACACAATGACTTGTTTATACTGCTCTATATACTGTACATGGGAATATAAATATTGTACTTTCATTTCAATTGATTTATTTTATAATTGTATGGTAAAAATGAGACAATAAGCATTTTTCAGTAATCGTGTACTGTGACACTTTTATATTTGTGTGTCTGATTTTGTAAGCAAGTAGATTTTAAGTGAGGTGAAACCTGAGATATGCAAGACAAATCAGACTCCTGAGAGGGTACAGTAGTCTGGAAAGGTTGAGAGCTACTGCATTAGGTTACACAGAGAGGTTTCTAGCCTCCACTCCAGAATACTTAAGTCACTATTTCTATGTTGAACACATAAGTTTCCTAAAATAGTATTTAAGACATTTAAACTTGTTAGTCATGAGTATACTGGTTTTAAATTACAATAGAAAAAGCCTCTTACCTCATCTGCAAGAAGTGATAGTTCACTGCTGTTTGCAGCATCATAATCATAGAGAACTCTGGCTTTCCTGCTGCCACTTGATGCTTTCAGTTCACTGAAGCCTGAAGTAACTACTGAATTGCTTACTGAAGGCAACGAAGCAGAGGCAGAAGCCAAGACTGAGGAAGCAGAAACACTTGGCACTGGGGTCGAGGAAGACTGATTATTGTTAGAGCGGAAGGTAGATGGAAAGCTGTGGAAAAACAAGATGACCACTGAATTATTTCAACACACAGGGAAGAAAGCCTTCATCACTATAGTAAGAGTTTCAATTATATGACCCTGTGACCTTTCCTACCAACTGTGTAACAGGCACTACACGTTGTGACAGCAAAGCTTATTACCTTCCTTGAAGTCTGAAGTGTAGTTCTCTTCATGCCAGTTGCATTTGTCAACACCCCAAATGGGAATCACCTTTGATTCATGGATTTCACCAGCAGAACCATTCTAGCTGACAGAGCTAGCTACTAAGCATTATTAATGAATGACAGGTTTTATCAGTTTCACAAATAAAACATCCAGCTATCGAACATGAATAGGAATAGAATACTTACAACTCAGGCGATTCCCCTGACAAGAGAATATATTGCCCATTAAAACACACACTCCCTGCACACACACCCCCCGCCCACGGAAGCCATTGTTGTGCAAACTCCATTTCACTCTGCCCCACACCCTCACATACCCTCCATCTAACCACCATCCCATACCGTCTATATACAAAGTGTTCTGGCCACTCTAGCTCAGACATCATCTTGCTGCAGATCTCCAGTTTCTCCCATCAGCCCTCCTACACAGGCTGGAAACCCCACTGGTGCTACCCCTTTCACACTCCTGATATGGGGAAGAGACTTCACCCTTACCCTGCCTACTTTATTTTACCACTGAATAGCATTCATGGGATTTCAAACACAATTAAGAGCTGGAGTCTTACCCTGAGCATCTCACAATCCAAGTTGGAACTTGCATATACTGGCTGCAAACCCCAGAGTAACGACATACCCTAACAAGAACATAATTTCATCTCCTCAATCAAGACAGAAAACTAAGCTAGGATGTCTGCCCTCCTTGCTTGGCAGCCTGCTTCTGCAGAAAGTCTGGCTGTTGCCTATATCTGACAGCACCAGTGGTCAGTCAGCTAGTACACAAGGCCAGTGGTCTACATATCCTCTTCATCCTCCTACTCTGAGCAATCAGCAGCTATGCCCCATCTATTTACAAATTTAGGGCCCTATCCAGTGTGAAAAGTGGAACTCAAGAAACTGTCCTGTCACGCTCCATGACTAATACAGTGGAGACTTCCTTGTCCAAGATATATGGCAGGAAGGACAGGAATTGGTTTAATCACCACTATAGTTTTAAGCTAAGTAGATTACTCCTGAGGGAATTCTGTGCCAAAAAATTAAAAATTCTGCAAATTTTATTTGTCAATAAATAAATGTGGCTCCAGCATGGTAGTGAGGAGCACAGACCACTGGCTGCACTGAGGTGAGAGATCACCCTGAAGCCCCCACCTCCCCTGTTACTGGGACTCAGCAGTGAGGCTGCACCTGACCCTAACACAGTGCAAAGGCTAGGCCTGCCTCAGAAACACCCCGGGGCCCTGCCGCTCTGCACCAGGTGCATCAGGTGTGGGTGGGCAGGTTTAGCCCAACAGGATCCAAGTGTGGAGGGCTTAGTGCGGAGGGATCCAGGTGTGGGGTGAGAGGTTTCTGTGTGGGACAATCTGGGTGCGGGTGACTCAGTGGGAGATCTGGATGTACAGGGGCTCGGGGGGGGGGGGTCTGGTTGAAGGAGCAAAGGGACTCTGCAGGGGATCCAGGTGAAGGTGGTTGGGGATCAGCAGGGGGGTTTGGGTGAGGGGAAATGGGGCTCAATGTCCAGGTGCAGCTAGTTGGGGCTCAGTGGGGTGGGAGTCCAGGTGTAGGGGGCTCAGAGGGGTCCAAGTGTAGGGGGAAGGACTTGTTAGGATGAGGGTTCAATGGGCCTGCTTAACGGGGGGAGTCCCAGCTGCTGCTGAGGGGATGCCGCATGCCAGGCTCCCGTTTCCCCCTGTGATTCCCCTACCCCCTTTTCTTCTCCATCTCCTTCCCTTCACTCCCACATTCCTTTCCCCCTGCCCTAGTCCATCCCCTCTTCCTTCCCCACTGCTTCTTCACCTCATTTCCCCCACCCTCCCCTTACCCAGCCCCACCATGGGCATTCATTGTTGCACAGAAAACAGGAAGGCTCCTAGCACACAGAAGGGTATCACAACTGACACTAGGACCCAGGAAGCAGCATTCAGCCCCAAAAATCTGCACCCATAGTAGTCCATTCCCCCTTCTCGGTGGCATCCCTTTGCTTCACTGCCATTTTCTGCAGGGAAGCACAGGAATTCTGCAGAGGGGGGCTGTTTTCTGTGGGCACACAGTCCCACAGAATCCCCCTTGGAGTAGTAGATGCAAGTTTCATATGGCAGTTTGTGAGACTTTCCAGCCCATAGACTGAGCATCAGCAAGATTATGGAGATAGGGTTAAAGCCAAGTTTCAAGACCAGATTGACATATTTCCATGAACATTGGCAGTTTGTATGAGCATGCTAAAATAAAAGCACCGTACATGCCTAGGCAAAGAAAATTAGTTAAGAGGAACAATCTTCTTTAGGTTAAAACTATTATGCTTCAAGCAAGTCCTATTTGCTTTCTATAGATTATCAACCTAGTTCTTGAAGTCTGTACTCTTGCCATTTGCTGTTACTCAGAACAGTCTTCCAAAAACACTTTATTTGACTCATCATAAAAATTTAAGTGATCCAAAAATCTGCCCTTATTCTCATGTAGCTTCTCTTCAACTTTTGATTCTGCGGTATGTGTTGTATACAAGTTACTTAATTTATACTAGTGTACCATCTTTCATGGAGGCTCTCAATGTGTTTTACAGATATTAAACCTCTTAACTTGTTCATAGCTAGCACAAGCACTTTTTAAGTGGAAGAAATGAGGCACAGGGCTTAAGTGACAAGTCAAGAAAAGACACAGGTGTATTAGCTTTTTCCTGCTATAGCTACTACACTCTCCCTCTCATTAAGGCAAAGTTTATGCATTCCTTATCTATATAGAGAAATAGAAAGCCTCATAGTAGAACCTCAGAGTTATGAATACCTCGGGAATGTAGGCTGTTCGAAACTCTGAACAACACATTATGGTTGTTCTTTCAAAAGTTTACAACTGTACATTGACTTAAAACAGTTTTGAAACTTTACTATGCAGAAGAAAAATGCTGCTTTTAACCATCTTAATTTAAATGAAACAAGCACAGAAAGTTTCCTTACCTTGTCAAATCTTTAACTTTCACTTAAAAAAAAAATAGTTTACATTTAACACAGTACTGTACTGTATTTGCTTTTTTGTGTCTGCTGCTGCTGCCTGATTGCATACTTTCAATTCCAAATGAGATGTGTGGTTGACCAGTCAGTTCATAACTCTGAGATTCTACTGTATGTATGTTTTGGGCTTGTCGTTTTAGCAGCCCCCATACAACATAACAAAACTTGTAAATGAGTTAGTGCAAATTATAATACAGCATCAAATTTTAAACATACTAGTTTCAAATGCCAGTTATTTCTAAGTTTGTTTTGAGAAGGCAAGTTAATGGTAAAATTCAGTTACCACCATCACAAAAAGAAAGAGTCCAGCCACTGAGTATGTGTTAGAATGTGTTTCATCAGGTCTGCTAGAGTTCTAGTTAAAGCAGCTTGCCATTTACAAGTGGCTGCAAAAGAGAAACTATCCAGGGAAATTATCCAATTAGGGCTTGTCTACACCTTGAAATATACCAAAATAGCTATTCCTGGATAATTATTTGGGAATAGCTATTTTGGAATAAACCCCCATGTGGACACTGATTCCAGAAAGCTTGCTCTCCGTTGAATAAAGTGGTCTGGCATACACCATAGTTTCAGAAAAATTCTGATTGGGACAAAGGGTTTGAAATAGGGAGCTGTATGAAATGTGTAGAATACAATCTGTATAGAATACAAATGTATCAGCATACAATTCTTTAAAGCATTTTAGAATTTAGGCAATAGATGGTTTCTTTCACTTGCTTTTAAAAAAAAGCTTAAGCTATCCAGACACTAGGCAAGTAGTTTACCTACTCAGTTGCTACCATTAATTTCCCCACCAACCGTCTCATATTATGAAATGTATTTCTCCCCATAGTAATTTGCTTTACTGGTAACCTGCTCTAACTTTGGAGAACACGCCTGTGTTCTCAAATCAGTTTAAGGTCTTGCATGTCAACATTTAACTTGCTAATGGATCTACAAGTAGTACAATGGCCTCCACTGCATTTGACAGCTGTTTGCTAGAATGGATCACCACCAACACAGTAGAATAATTAGAAGTATTCTGCTAGGAATCCTCTAGATCTCTACTAGAAGTGGTCATACGTGCTCCCCATCCCTCATTATAGACTCCGCAAAGTCTCCGTCTCACTTTATGCTTCACAGCATTGGCTCTATCTACAGGTTTGGGATTTTTTGCTCCATGGGTGTAACTACATTGTTGTAACCCTGTTTTGCACCAGTGCAGCACATGTGCATCAGAGGTTTGCAGAACTATAACTATATTAATGTAGTTACAACAGTGCAAGTTTTCCTACCTCAAACAAGTCCTTACACAAAGCTGTAACTATAAAAAACGCTTTTGCAATTTTATTACCTTCCAAGTTGTTTCTGGAGGTCCAACATATATTGGTAACATTGTGCATAATAGGTCATCTGAGCTTCAACAAAATCAGTCAGACAGCGAAGATGATGTGCCTATAATATAGTGAAGAGTTCAAGTTTTTAGTGCATATGAAGAATACTATACTTGCATTAAAAAGGCTGGCTTGGTAGCTTAGCATCAGTGGCAACCCTGAATTTGGGGGGGGGGAGGGGGAAGGGAGAAGAGGAGATGGATGGGGGACAACAAATTCATGACCCAGACTCAAAAAGTAATTGGGATGTTAGTGCTATAGACACAATATTTTCGGGCCTGAGAGATATGATGCTTGCATGATGCCCACCATTCTTAATTCTCTGCCCAATTGAAGAGTTACTGTAGTATACAGTAATTTTGTAATTTGTAGCCTCAACACAGGGTGGGTCTGGTGGGGATCTCAGAAGCTTAGAAGAAAGGTGCCCAAAGGGTCTTCTTACTAGGGCCCTGGGGAGACCAGAGTTAAGTTAGCTGGATAGTAACTACAGCTTAGAAGTTGAGATTCAAATGGGTATGTATTGTGTAACACATTGTAAGGTGTTAAGGAAAAATTAGCATTTTAAAAGTATTTCCAAGCAACTTCCTGTAGTTATTTTAGAGAGTCTCAATTTTATTCATTTTCTTCAATTTAGATACTCACATGTGTACTGCTGATGCCTTCCAGCAGCAGTCTGGTAATCTCTGCTTGACGGTCAAATTCACTCTGAGTTATTCGTACTTCCTGTTCAGACTGAAGAGTATAAACTTATTAGAAGTTTGTACAACACAGCTTAAAACACTGCTTACTAACACCGTTACAGTTCCTACGTGAAGGCCTTGATCCTACAGACAGGTGCTTAACTTTATGCATCTAAGTGGTTCCATGGACTTCAATGGGACCATTCACATGCATGCAGTAAAGCATATGTTTAGGTGTTTGCAGGATTAGGGCCCAATTTTGTTTTCATGCTCTACAATACTGAATAGATTACAGCTATTTAGTGTTTTCAGACAGTTTCAAATAGCCATATATGAGCCTTTTTGCCAAAAAATTAACAATGTTTTATTAGTCACCAAGCTTTATGTCTGATAGATCTGCATAGGAAGATCAATGGGTGCCTCAAAATTAAGATCTCTAAGGAGAAAATGAAATTTAGATTTAGTCCCAGTCTGATGTTTTAACTTCTCTGCTACACTAGAAAATGAATTAGGCCACCAACAGCAGAACTTCAAATATAACATTAATATTTATTTTTACAACTCTTTCAAATTTATGGATTACTCTAATGCTGCTAGTTAGCCTACAGTTCTTAGCAATTTTAGAACAAGTCTAAAATGATCTAGTAACATTAGAGGGTCTCATTTAACACAAGAGCAAGTCATTCTGAATTCCACACTGTTCTGAGCAACCAATGCCACCCAAATTGCACATGACTATATAATCAGAGTTGCAGTATCCAAGATTCACTGTTCTGAGGTCTCCGATGGGAAGTATGCAGTCCTGGTATCTAGATTCCTCTCTCAGTGCTTTTAAATTTGACCATTTAGTGTCTGGTTTCTGTATGGGATAATTCAGCAGGCAGAAGTCTGTCTTTGTCTGAGGTGCAGCAGTTAACTACTCTTACAATAAGGGAAATGAATTTACAAGACCTATTGAAGTGGCACAACTTTTTTTCTTGCATGTCATTTTACCTGAGACTATATTTCTGCTCATCCTACTATGAATAGTTCCATGGGAACACAGAAGGGACTCATTCAAAGGAATATGCACAGAAGAATTATGGAACTAAAATATTTCTGGGTTAAGTTTTTACAGCCACTTTTGAAATTGCTTAAAAGACAGTGAAGAAGCTGTGGAGAACGAAGTATACAGTTGGTATTTAGTAGTGAGATGACCTATAATTTAGCACACAAGTTAATTCATATTAACTTTCCAAACTTTGTGCAGAGTGTCCCAAATGGACAGCATGGGTCCATTAGAACTTGTTCTGTCAGAAGTCTTTCAGGACAAGCTAGCTTACTCCTCCCTCTCCCCCCCAGAAAAGCAGTCGTACTTTCAGAGAAAACAGCAGAGACATGTACTATAAATTTTTATGCCTGAAGCGTTGACACGCATTGCTTCAGAAGTCAGGACTTCACCAGCACAATGAACTCATGGCTGGCCATTCGGAAAGAGCTGTGTAAGAACAGGAAGGAAAATAGGAGGGTTTGTGTGTGTTTTGTTTTGGTGTTTGTTGTTTTGCAGGGGAGAGGTGAGAAGGTTGAAAAACGAAAAAAAGGAAGAGTTGAACTTCCTGCTTTTGCACTCCACACAACTAGTTTTCCCATCCATTGGGAAGCTAATGGTCTTGAGTTTTACAAAAGTAAATCTTTTTTGGTACTTCAAATTGCAGTACATTTCAGGGGATTGTTTTTAAACACATGCAGATATGAAGTTGTAACAAGGCTGATACTTTAATGAAACAGTGTAGAGGGCAAATTATCCACTTTAATGATAGAGAAAATAAAGCAGATTCCTTCCCTTATCAAGTTCATAATGACAAAAGAAGTTATACAACTGTGTGTTAAACAGGCGCACACTGAATTAGTTCACCAGACAGAAGGGCCTTTGGAAGCATCACTGCTCAAGCTTAATTGCTATATGCAGAGCATTACTTGAACTGGAGGTTGCGATGGCATGCTCCAAGATCTCTAGTTTCTTCATCTTCCCATGCATTGCCTCGTCCCCTTTTTCACTGCTGCTGATTGAAGTGTAGCATTATGGTATACCGATTTATATCACTGGGATAAAACTGGTATACATGCACAACTGACATTCTGAGCTCATGCAACTTGTAACCTTATCACCTCTGAGAAGAGTTAAGGAAAGAGCCTTGAAATGTAAATCTAGGCTACCCTGCCCTCAGTGTACAACTGCAACCACAGTCAGTGAAACCTCCTGTTTTAATAGGAAGTAGCAGATGACTGTCACTGTCTTGCCATGAAGGGCCCTTGACGCGATACCTGCTCTCCACCTCAGTTCAGACCATGGATTTGTAAGGCTTCTGGGCTGAAAAGCTTATTGACAGATAACCAGTTGACCCGGAGTATATTGCGTCCAGTTCAGACAACACTTCAAAAAGAAAGTTAATTGGAAAGGGTGCAGAAGAGCTGCAAGACTAATTCAAGGTCTGGAAATCATGCCTTGCAGTAAGAGACTAAAGAAGCGCAGTCTATTTAAGTTCACTCAAGAGAAAGTTAAGGGGTGACAATCATCATCTACACGTGCCTACCTATATGGGAAAGATTTGATAGACTAAGCTAGCAGAAGCAGGCATAACTAAAGCTAGACCAATTCAAACAAAAACAAAAACAAAAAACAAAAAACAAAATCTGTGCTTTATTTCAACAGTGAAGGCAATTACATCCATAAGATTAGTTGTTCTAGTGGTTAAGTGATTCTTCATCACCTAGAGTCTTAAAAGCAACACTGGAGATATATTTCTAGTGATAAGCTATTTCAAACAGAAGTTATGGTTTGATTCAGAGATTAGTTTATGAATCAGACTCCCCTCTCTCCCTGGGCTTTCAATAAAGGGGAAGGCAGATCAACCTCAATGCATTTACATCAGTTTCTGGGCCTTCGGAAGGAGGCATGAGCTATAGGTTGGAGGATTTGACTGGGTGGTCTTTGGTTTTATTACTTTTTCATTTTTTAAACTCTACAGCACTTACAGCAACAGAGAGGTACTTTATAAAAGTACTAAGAAATTCAGAGTGTCTAGCCTCTCTTCGTTAAGATTTGAAAACAAATAAGCCAATAGCTAGCGTTGAAAAGTTGCCACTGGATTTTTCCTTAGATGCACATAACTCAGTCCCCCAGAATTGGCTTTTGGGATACGAGACAGCTCTCTAGACCACTTCTCTGCTAGTTGGGTGATGGAATGCCATTCAGGCTGCTGCCAACTGCACCATGACTATTCTCCAGCTTCCCCCAGAGAGCTGCTTGTGGCAGTCTGTGTAACCTCGTCACAGAATAGCTCAATAGTATGGAACAGCATGATTTGGCAACGAGCTCTGATGTTTTACTCCCAGCTCTCAGACTCCTTAAGACTTTTCTTCTTAGCCCTGGTCTACACTGGGGGGGTGGGATATCGATCTAAGTTATGCAACTTCAGCGACGTGAAAAATGTAGCTGAAGTCGACGTACTTAGATCGACTTACTGTGGTGTCTTCACTGTGGTGAGTTGACTGCTGCTGCTCCCCCTGCACCTCTCGCGGTGCTGGAGTACAGGAGTTGACGGGAGAGGGCTCAGGGGTCAATTTATCGCGTCTAGACTAGACACGATAAATCGATCCCTGCTGGATCGATCGCTGCCCGCCGATCCGGCGGGTAGTGTAGACATACCCCTGGTTTTGCCATATGGAAAGAAAGGGGAACCAGTTTGATAGTGTTTATGAAAGCACTGTATGTGTGCTAAAATCCAACAGAAGGCACACAGAAGCCTCTAGTAAGTCAAGTGAAGTCTCAAAGTATCATCTTGCCAACCTATGGTTTGTGTCTTGCATTCCATTACATTTGCAGGCAATTAGTTGTTTTGCAGGCCAACCCAAGAGTGCTAAGGCTAGCACTGCTTCTCCTTTTTTCATCCTCCTTCAGATGAGCTTGCTACTTCCACAGTATCAGTTCCCCATTTGAGTACTAGGAGGCCAACAGTTGAATGTCTGTTTCTTAATTGGCAGTTCAGAGAACTACCACACAATCCTTCAGGAAAAAAAAAAAAAACAAAAAAAAAAAAAACACACAATCTACAAAGAAATTTATTACTGTGATTTGTTTGCAATAAGATACTGTCCTAAGAAATTAACCTTTGTAAGAGAAGCCCTACTGTCTTGTTACTTGCAGGCTTACAGTCTTTTCATATTATATTTTGTCACAAGAATGTCACATGGTGGCAGTAGTTACCCAGAAACAGTATTTCTTCAAATTCCAAGTTTATTCCTAAGCACGATGTACATCACTTAGGGTGACCAGATGTCCCGATAAAATCGGGACCGTCCTGATGTTTGGATATTTCGCGGTACTCCATTTTTTTTTCTTTTTTTTTTTGCTCCCCCGGCGGCAGTCCACTTTTTTTTTTTTGGCGCTCTGCCGGTGACCCCCCACCCCCCAGGTGTTCCGATATTTTCTTCCTCTCATCTGGTCACCCTAACCTCACTTCACTACTGGAATCTGAAATTCTCTGTAAAGGGCTAAATAGTTGATGCAATACAGCAGAATAACTGCCAGCAATGTATTAACTACACCTCTATCCCGATAGAACGCTGTCCTTGGGAGCCAAAAATAAAATCTTACCGCGTTATAGGTGAAACCCCGTTATATTGAACTTGCTTTGATCCGCCGGAGTGCGCAGCGCCCCCCCACGGAGCACTGCTTTACCGCGTTATATCAGGTTGTGTTATATCGGGGTAGAGGTGTACAAGAACATGGAACACTCTTTATTTCACTGTACCAAACAAGTAATTGTTTCATAATGCTGCAGTTTCTGAACTGTTTACTTACTTTTGTCACTTCCTCTGCCCAAATCTTGTCAGCATTAAGAGTTAAGACAGACATTTAGAATAGCAGAGTGGTTTTAACATAGTAAAGCCATACTTGTGTGTTCTTTAATAATACCCCCTTCCCCCTCGCCCGAAGATGTAAAGAGTGGACAACTGTGACTCACTGCACCCATATGAAGGCCTTTGCTATGAACTATGTTCAGTCAAGAAAATGTAATGCATTCTTTAAACACAATAAAGAATTCCAGCTTAAACTGCATACCTATAGCACTATATTACATACATTATGTGATGCTATGGAGCTATTATAAAAAAAACTTAAGTGGATACTCTATAGAGCAAAAGTGATAAAAAACAAATTCTGTAAAATGGGATACTTGTCCGTAAAACATGAAGCTCTTACAATGTAAAATACGTAACTACTTGGAAAATGGATACAAACTGGACAGCCTAAATTACTTATTGGAAGTTATAAATAAATTAATGATTTTTAATTTAGTTATGGATACTTTAAGGGTCGTAAGTTTGAAATATTGATCAACTGAAAGATATGCTCACCCTTCACAAGAGCCTTCTAGACAAAACTATGTTAAATATAAAACAAATTGAGAGAAGCGATTTCTCTTGCCATCTTAATTCCATTATTGGTTGCTGCCTCCACAAGGACTTGCAATAAATTGGATAAATTTCAGTGAACTGAAACAATTGATTAAAAATTCTATTGTGACATCTCAATAATAACTTAATACAGCTACAACAGGAGTCTTCCTCACAATGCAGCTTTCCTTTAGTTTATTATGTTGAAATTAGAAGTTTTTTGGAAAGCAATTCTGACACTGTCAAAGTTGTGGTTAAAATATGCAATTATGACCCAAGACTTCATTAGTTTTATAACTACAGGTAAGATTCTTTGGTTTAACGATTCACTGTCCATCAACTATGGAACCTTTAACACTTCAGTGTTTATTTGTATTACAGGCCACATTGAAAATCAATGCCATATTGTACCAGGTGCTGTACAGACCAAGGACAACACCAGATTGAGGAACCATCATAAAATATTGTGCATGTTCTACAGAAGTAATTTTGACTAGTGTGCTAACACTCTGGTCTAAAAACAGTGTGTAAATATTTTCCAGGCTGAGAAAGAATCAGCAAATCTTTGCAACAAGTATCTTACAATTGTTATTTCTAAATTAGCCCAATAATCATATTGCAATATTCATAGTTTCAATTGTTTGTACAATTAGTTTGATATCAGAGACAAGAAAGAGTCCCTAAAATATTTAGATCCACAGTTTATTCCAACTGTGATAGATATGAGACCCTGATAGCATGGAAACTACAAAGATTATGATGTTGAGATTATTTATTAATACAATAATTCAAACAACATCTTGAGTCTAATCAAATGCTATGGGCACATAGATAGGTTGCTCATAAATGGTTATAATCTATCTATATATGTATGTGTGTGTTTGTTCCTGGCTCATTGGGTGGGTTTACTGTGAAAGCTGGAATCATTAGGAGGTAATTAATGCAAATCCATAGAAATATGACACTTAGACAATTATATATACTGGCTTGGACCGGGTTTAAGAGGTGAGCAAACAAACATCCCTTACCCCACAAAAAACTGCATGAAAGGTCAACCTGCACTGACTGTGGATGAAACTCTGAACCAACACATGTACAGACCCACCGGATGATGGGTAATCCCTGGTAAATTTAACTTGTGTTTATGACATTATTTTATGACGTTCTCTGTAATGCTTTTGACTGGTTTGGGGTGCCCTTAAGGACACCGTAAAGCAGTGTGGGGTGCAGTTCCCCTGAAATGGTCCTGTACAAAATACTATGGGGAAAGTCAAATAATGCATTTCAGTTGTTTTCCCACAATTGCATTTAATTTTTCAATAGTAATTTTTTTTTAAATTGGTACATTAAGCTTTCTGACATCAATAAAGTTGTGGAAACAAGGCTATAGTATTGCACACTTTAGATTATTGGATGCAGTCTGACAGGGACAATTTAACAATATAGAGCCATGAGTCATTTATCTAGTACTTTTTTTGTATTATTAAAGTAAGGACTCCAAGAAATTGGAATATTGATTCAGTTCTCCATTCCAAATACTTGATATGACAATTAAGGCCACTAGAGTTGGATAGCAAGAGGAAACACTTTGTAAAAGTATGTATGAACACAGGAGGCCAACAAACCTTTAGCCATTTTACATGCAGCAAGTTGAGCATGTAAGAGACATTTACCATAATGTTATTTTCTTCAGGCTGAGACGTGTTTAGTTGCTTTAGTGCATAGACAGAGACAAAACCAGGTTACACTGTTATTACTGCAGGTGAACAATATGTTACAGAACACAGAATAGTTAAACACTGCAAGATTGAACTGAGCAAGTGGTGAAGCATACCTAGAAATCCAAACAGTTGCTGGTTTAGTTCAAGTAGTTTTATTCAGCCATTTTAAATACTGCTCTGGACTACTTCATTTAGCTATTGAACATAATGGCGCATGACTTATGAAGAGATTAGAGTTACATGTTACTCCATCTGCATTTGTTTCATTTTCTTTTATAGAACAGAGAAAACATTTGAAACAAGACCCGAGGCTATCACAAAGACGAGCGTTAAAACCCTCAATGAAAGTGTGTGCTACTGACTCAGACATTCACTACAGCTAGCAAGCCAGGCAAACCTCCTTTAGAAATCAAGAATGATCCATGGCAACCTGAACCAATCCCTCCACACTTCTTCACCCCCTCTTGATCTTCTGGCTTCTACTCTGAACATTCACTACCAACTGCAAGGCAAGGCTTTATAGGCCCTTTTGAGTATACCCTCTGGAAGCTTGAAACCCAGGGTTCAAGAGGCAGAAAAGCATTAAAATGTTGTTAGTTTGAGTTATCAACTACTAAAGGGGTTTGGGATTGAAGTATAGACAAGCAAGATGGTAATGTAGATGTACTTTTAATTACATCACAAATTGAGGTGTACTTTATAAAACGCAGGTAGGCATACCTGTACTAGCTTTAGCACGGAAGACGTGATGGCATGAGCTTCAGTGCAGACTAGCTGCCCCAGTTTAAGCACACCTCCCAGTGGGAGTGGGTATGTATTCTGGTTGCTAGCCCACACCAGGGTCTGTGCACCACATCTTCACTGCTATTGTTACCCATGCTAGCTAAATTAAAGCTAATATGGGTATTACACCTTAATTTGCAATGTAGATGTACCCTGAGAGGTAGGTAGTCTCATGCTCTACCACCATTGAAACACTGACAGATAAATATTTACAGGACAAGTATTTTTCTTATTACTAGTCCTGTAGTAATGATCAGCAAGTAATTTGTTCCTCTGAATAAAGTCAGCAGATTAATTCCCTCCCCCAACTAACAAAAATCTAATAATGCATGTAAGCAAATCACAACATAACTTGAGAGAAAACTAAGATTAGTGAGGCCACTTAAATGTTTTGGAAATGGTTGTTCCTGGGATTTTTATGTTGGGTAAAATGGTTATCTGCTATACTGGACCTTGCAAACTAATATCTAAGGTAACAGAACTTGGAGCTGTTGATATGTAAAAAGGTATAAAGATGTGATAAATTCCCTGAAATTATGTAAAATGTGTGACAAGCCATTCCAAAGAAAAAGACAAGAATATTGAAGCAAAAGTAATTTAGCATAGGGCAAGGTTAAGTCTTCAGAAGACTCCCAACTGTTCTACTTATGCTCCCACACGTCTAGTAAACAAACAAACAAAAAGAGCAATTCTTACTTAATGTTTGGCACACCTCACCTTAAAAATTACTATGTGAAAAAGTTCCTCCACATTTTGAAGTATTAGTGATTAGAAGTTAACACAAACCATGTGACTTATTAGGGCCCAAGAATTGTCATTATGACAAAGGTTCATGTAGGATAGAAGAGGAGCAGCATAAAAATTTGCTATGCCTACATTTAAAAATAGTATTAAATTTAAAGAAGTCAAGAAACCCAACACAAAGTAAGCAATGTGCCATTTTCTCTTAGATTCCACCTAGGCATTTCTTATTCAGTTTGACATAGAAATATTTGCTGAAGTAATAATATTAATGTCTGGCTTCTAGTATAAGTAATTACAATTTGCATAGGGCCAGAACTGTCTACATTTGAGACCCAAATGGGGAGAGTTATAGTGAACTTCTTGTTTTTTTAAAGAAAAAGATTATTCTACTTACTGCAGCTCTAGCTTCTGCAACTTTTGCCTTCTTCAGTCTGGTTTTTGCTGCATCCAGATCTAGTCTTTTATTTTGCAATAGTTTGCGTTCTTTCTGGAAGTTTAGGAAAATCAGTTAGTTTAAAAGGATCATGAAATAAATTGTGGGCTTGTACTACATAAAGATAATCTACAGTAATAAGTGAGTGATATTTGTAACATACTGCATACAAGCTGCCTCCTAAAACTGAAACCGCAGGCATAATTAGATGCAGAATTAGATCCAGATCATTATTTTAACTCCTATCCAAGTTAGGACACTTACTAAAAAGTGGCAGATTCAAGAAAATTTTCTTGAACCAGACCTTCCCCCCGCACCCTTCTCTCCTCTCTAAAAACATGACAGGCATTACCTTAAGACAAAAGTCAAGTCAAGTCTCGACTGCTTTTTCCTTATTGGGAGTTTAAAGAAAATTCCATGTGATTTATCTATCTCTTTACTTAAATGTTTATATTTAGAACTATTTACAAGTGTTTACAATACATTTGTCAACTTACAGTAATTGTTTTATAATCTCCTTCTATAAAATTTCTTAGAGGAGTGAGGAAGTTTATAGCAGATGTTTGAATTAGTTCTCTATCTGCTGTTCCAATTCGCTTTTGTGTTTCTCCACATTTAATTAGTGCATTTCCTGTAAAGGAGAAGAGATGGTTGTTAAACAGTGATCCCTGTAGGTGGTTATGCAAATTTCTACAAGCACAAGAGTTTAGGCCAACATTTTGAAGAATTACCAAATGCTAAACAAATAGCTTTTAAAGAAAAAGTTAGAACCAAGGCTGTTTTAATGAGAGTCACTAACTGGAAGTTCTGAAGGAACGAACATTCAGTGTTAGATCTTAATCTATCTGAATAGTTACAGCATTGTGGTAGTGGTACTACCTATGGCAATTCCATTTCGCATTTGCTAATGAAAGTTCCAATTGTTAGTATTAATCCAGAAGCAATTTCCCCCTTTTGACAGTTTGAATCACCCATCTGAGGTTTTTGCTAAATAGAAAAATGTTAACTGTTGAGAATGTTTTTTGCATTTAATGTAAACTCTGAAAGTCTACTTTTGAAGACACAGGTAGGATTTGTACTTTAATACAAAATGTTAGTAAATTTGATTCTGAAAAACAGTGTTATGAAAACAACTTCAGATAGACACCATGATCGGATGCTGCCAATGATCACACATTTCACTGTTCTTGGAATTTTTATTGAATTAAAAGAGGAAACGGACTGGGGACCTTATCATTCAAAGTTTGTTTTGTATGCCCTTGAGATATGGAACTTTTCAGTGCAAGTGCTGATCAATACCAATTTCCTACCAAAATTCATCCTTGCTCAACATATTAAGCATCATTCAAATGGTGTCATTGCAAGCTAATAGTGTAACGTTTATTTTTGCATCCTAGAATGAATTAAACAAGTTGCAATGGCTGTATACTTATAAGAAGTTACACACATATTGGTCTGAATAAGCTGAGTTTCATTTAGCTTGTTTTAAATAAAGACGAGCAAGTTTCAGGCCTGGTTAATACTTGGACAGCAAGCCAATGATGTTTTCAAGTGTCTTGTCGCTTCTCTGATTGTAAAGGTTGCCACTACTAAAGTTATACCCATACACTTTCTGTGAAAATCTATACTTGGATGCTTCCAACAAAAAGAGTAGGTTATCTTCTACTTTAACAGAAAATCCTGTTACTTCTAGATGCAAAGATCTTTGATTAAATTCCTTGTGGAAATTCATCTCACAAAACAAGTTTTTTTTATTTACTTGCGGAGCTGCCTTGTGTTCTGAAATGAAAACTATCAGGCTTTGTAATGTGTATTTTGACAACAATATACCTACACATTAATGGTTGGTTAATTTTAACTGTTACCTATATTAAACTGATGGGTAGGTTTAAGAGAACATGAGAACTGGACTTCATGTTAAGACCCAGTCTCTAAAATTTTCCTGGGAAATGCCAGAGATGCCATTATAGAGGAGTAGGATTTTGAGGGAGTAAGAGAAAGGTATCCATGAATAAGTCTACTATAACTCTAATAATCCCTTGTAGAAAGTACCGTATATACTTGATCATAAGCCGGTTCATTTATAAGCCGGCCGACCCCCCCCCCCCCCCCCAAGATGGATAAGTAAAAATGGAAATTCAGGGGTCAGCAAACTTTGGCTCCCGGGCCATCAGGATAAGCCGCTGGTGGGCCGAGATGATTTGTTTACCTTGAGCATCCGCAGGCACGGAGGTGAACCTAAGTAAACAAAGTGTCCTGGTGCGCCAGCTGCTAACCCTGACGGGCCGGGACAGCAACTGGTGGGGAAATTTTGGGGGGGGGGGGCGGGGTGAAGAAGCTGGGAGTCAGGGGAGTAACCCCTGAGACCACCCCCCACATGACCCCACCCCTAGCCTGGGACCCCCACATGACCCCACTCCTAGCCTGGGACCCCCCACGCTCTCCCCATCCCATCCCTTCCCACCTTATCTGGGGAGGGCCAGGGGAGGATGTCTCTGACCTGGCTGCAGCCTGCTCTGGAGGGTGGGGCCGAGCGGCACGACAGCAGCCTGCCAACCCCAGAGCTGCAGCTGCTTCGGAGGCTGGGGGGAGAGGTGGGGGAGAAGAGAAGAGCAGCGTGGCCAGAAGCGGAGAGACTCTGGCCCCGCCTCTTCCCTTCTGGCTCTGCTGCCTCTCCTTGCTCCCTCTGTTGGGAGGGGCTGTGTCCCACCTCTCCCTTTCTATACCCGTTCATAAGCCGACTCCCTTCTCTGGTGCTTCCCTTTTTTACTAAAAAAATCTGGCTTATGAACAAGTATATACAGTAGTTTAAAAAAAAAAAAAAAAAAAAA